CGGATTAGAAAATTTTATGTTCGATCCAGATTAGAATAAAAATTTAGAAAATTTTATTTTTATTCTTTATGGAACGAAGGTTTTACTTTTTGGGAAACAGGACCTTAGGTGTCGCGTTCCCGCGACTGCATGCGCGTGCCGAATGACCGGAAGACCAAGCTAATAACCATATCTTCCCCTCATTACCATGTCGATTTCCCTACGTTCCCTGGTATATAAAGCCCCCGTTTCTCGTTGTGATTGCTTCAGTCATCCGCTCCGACCCCGGCTTCCCTGTCCTCATTTACTTCAACGAGGTGTCACCCCACCGGGGACATCCTCCGAATAAATGCTGTGACCCTTCATGTCTGCTCTCCCACGCTATCGAGTCATGTGGTGCCCCGTGGGATCCCGGTCGACATTTACTCGGACGTGATGCTGAACGCCGCCCCCGGGAGGGCCACGTACCCGTGTGCATCAAGAAGACCCACTTTTTTGGCGTGATCCGGACGTTTTGAACGGGCTGGCGGAGTTTCACCCGACGTACCGTGACTCGACCGTGTGCGATGAAGACCCACTTCTTTTGGCGAGATCGGGCCGCCCCAGAAGGGCTGGCAGAGTTTCACCCGGCGTGCTACGACTCGACCGTGTTCAAGGGCAACTTCTCGCGTTCAAGGGCAACTTCTCGTGTTCAAGGGCAACATCACGTGTGCCAGGGCGTCTTCTCGTGATCACGGGCGTCTTCATCGTGTACAAGGGCAACGTCATCGTGTACCAGGGCAACTTCGCGTGATCAAGGGCAACTCCACCGTGTTCAGGCGCCGCTTTGTGCTAGACCAAGAATCCGCTTCGCCCACCGGCATCGCGGAAGGTTGGCTGGTACAAGGCGTGTGCGGGCCGATGACGTGCGTGGCGACGAGTCAAGAAGCAACGATGTCTGCCACCGCGGGTCGTCTGCAGGCCGTTCGACTACTGCGGCTGAAGCCTCGTCCCCCGGGAGTGTCGCGTTCCCGCGACTGCATGCGCGTGCCGAATGACCGGAAGACCAAGCTAATAACCATATCTTCCCCTCATTACCATGTCGATTTCCCTACGTTCCCTGGTATATAAAGCCCCCGTTTCTCGTTGTGATTGCTTCAGTCATCCGCTCCGACCCCGGCTTCCCTGTCCTCATTTACTTCAACGAGGTGTCACCCCACCGGGGACATCCTCCGAATAAATGCTGTGACCCTTCATGTCTGCTCTCCCACGCTATCGAGTCAGATTTAGAAAAATTTAGAAAATTTTATTTTTATTCTTTATGGAACGAAGGTTTTACTTTTTGGGAAACAGGACCTTAGGCTCTTTTTTGGAAAGCGAAAGCGTTTTGTGGGCCTCTCTCTCCCTCTCTCCCGCGCTCTCTCGCCCTCTCTTTCGTTCTATTGCTTTTTTTGTAAGGTAAAACGGCTACCTTAAAAAAATTTATCGCAAAACAAAATCATAACATGATAAAAAGGAATTTTGTCGGAACTCGTCATTAACAAACGGATTGTAACAGACGATAGTCTTGAATCATAAAGAACAAAAAATCATAACGGAACGTGATTCTAAAATTAAAAAGTTACAAAAATTCGTATCGAGCCTAGTTGCGGGTTTTGCGCGGATTCCGGGCGACAGCACCGACAATTTGTCGGATTTTCTGATTTGATCGCGAATGGAATGCCCAAACTTCGTCGATGAGCTTCTCGGAAAAGTCGTGGGAGATCTAAAACGATTTTCTCTAGTGGATAACGTAACAAATTAAGTAACCAAGATCCCATTTTTTGAAGATTTTTTGCTTTTGAAGACCCTATTAATATTTAAGTCACTCTGGATCAATTAGAAAAATTACTCTAAAATTAGGAAGTTGTCGTCTTTTCGATGGCATTTGAATAAATTTCATGGTTCAGTACGCATGCTTTTCAGGTTTTTTAGAAGGCAAAAATTTGGCTCTTTTCGTGAAGGTTTGGCTTCGAGGTGCCTTTAAACTATACATGGGTCGACGCTTGCATGCGCCGCTTTAGCGTGGCTGGCCACGCTCTTCCGGAGCGTGGAGAGCCACGCTGGCGCGCGTGGCTCTTAACAAACCACGCCAAAATGAGCGTGGCTGGCCACGCTCCGGAAACACTTATGCAAAGTTTCAAAAGATGCAAATCAATATTTTCCAAGCTGCATGGATACGTAAAAATCGATAAGTTTTCAAGAAGTTAAGTATCAAAAAGTTAAACCACTACCTATGATGTTTATTTATGAAAAATTAAATAAGCACCTGATAGTTATGTATCGGTAATCCACTTTAGCAAATCGAAATCATAGATATATGGCCTTTCAATTTTTGATTTGCATCTCGAGTTAAAGTGCGAGCGTGAAAAATCACGCATAAAGCGCCGCATAAGCGTGGTTCTCCACGCTCCGGAAGAGCGTGGCCATTCACGCTTATGCGGCGCATGCAAGCGTCGACCCATGTATACTTTAAACGTATGTTTTCAAGAAAGTTACCTCGACTGTTTCCACGTAGAGCCTCAAAACGTCGTCAGCCGGGATTTCTTGGTGGTTGATTTTGATGACGGGCCTTTCTTGCGGCTGAGAAAAGGTTAGTTTTTTCTGTAGTTCTGACTTTAGATGGACGATCTTCCTTGCTAATTTACGGTAAAAAAATAAAACTAACCGCCGTCGGGTTCATCTTGCGAAGATCGTCACACCAGTCGACGAATTGGCAGACCTAAATTTGGGGCATAGAGTCGAGGAGACCACCCGAAGTAGTTATTTTTGCTCATAAATTCGCAAAATCAGTCCCGAATCTGGTCCGATTTGTGCAGTTTATATCTATCAAAAGCTCTCGGAAAGGCCAATCGAGATGGATTTACAGATATCTATTTACAGATATCTATTTACAAAATTATGATCTTTTTTTAGATTTTCTGATGTTTTTGCGAAACGGGCCGAATTCCTGATTTTCTTCCGAGATAAGGTTTTTTGCAAAATTCAAAATTGATTCTTTTGAAGATTTGGAAATTTTTTAATTTTAATTTTAATTTTAATTTAATTTTTTAATTTTTAATTAATTTTTAATTATAATTTTAAAATTGCAAAGATTTTGAAAATTGGCAAACCTAAATTTAGTGCGTAGGGTCGAAAGCTATGTGGTGCTAGTGAACAATCCAATCCACAAAAAACGGATTTTTTGTGAATTCGATAATAGTTTTGCGAAACGGGCCGAAGTTTGATTCTCTTCGGAGAAGGGTTTTTTGTAAAATTCAAAATTGATTATTGTCAAAGCCTTTCTGGGAACCAAACGATAGCTTTTTAAATGGCCTATTGAAAACGCCGCAGGAATTGCAAAAAAGGCGCTGAATTGAGTTTTTGCACAAAAAAACAAATCGCTAACTTTGTAAGAAAAATCTTGAAAATCAAGCAAAATTCGAAAATTTTGAAAACTCGAGGAGAAATATGGACTGGCCTTTCCGAGAGCTTCCTATAGATACTGAGATCGTGAATATCAGAAGCCTCAAAGCCATCAGAACACACAAACACAAAACCCTCCAATCTTGACCTGTCGTACCTTGACAATCCGGATTCCCGTGCACGGCTCCAACTCGATGTAGCTGACGTTGCGCACGGATGTCGAGACGACCGGGACGTGGTTTTGAGGCACAGCGCCGTCACGCTCTATGGATGCTATCATGTAGACCATCAGTAAGCCGCACCAGAGCCCGGCGCCAACAGACAGAATCAGGTCACAGGTGTTATTCTTAAAAAAAAATCATTGGCAAAGCTTGAATTGACTTACATAGCTGTCGCATTGCCTCTTGGCGATTTTCTCGGCTAGCTGCGTCTCGACCAACTGTAAAAAATCGTTTATCTTCAAAATATCGAAATTCAAGATGTCGAAATTTCCTAATTTGCAAATTTCATAATCCTGACATCGGAAAGTCGAAATTCAAAATGTCGGCATTTTCGAATGCCAAATTTCATAATGTCAAAATTTTGGATACCGAAATTCACTATGTAGAAATTGAAAAAGTTGAAATTTTTAATACGTCCAAATCTCTACTATATCTAGAAGTGCTATGATTTCCGAATCTCATAACGTCCAAATTAAAAACGTCGAAATCGATAATTTCCGAGTTTTGATATGTCGTTATTTTGGGCAGAGAATTTGAGGATTTTTTCGGGGGAGATTTCTTCCTGGAAAAATTCAACATTATGAAAGTTCGCCATTTGGAATTTTGATATTATGAATTTCGATAATATGAAACGTCTAAATACGAATTTTGAACTAACTAAATTTCGATATTCTGCATTTCGGCATAATAAACTTTGGGATTCTGATAGCAAATTAAAAAATTCTTATAAAATATGATATGATATAGAAATGTTATCTATTTTCGAGAAATTCCTACATTTGACCGCAGCTTGCGGTAAGGTATGCCCTTCGGCTCACTCGGCTTTTTCTCGCCAACATCTTTGGGCGGGCCTTCAACCTTCTCGGCCACTTCCGCGGGCTTCTCCTCGACGGGGAAGATTTTGTACGTCTCGTAGTCGTTGCAAGTCCTAAACAATAGGCCTGTGCTTTCAAAATTGCGGCTTACCGACAACTCGACTTCTTCAACTCGCCGATCACATCGACGCTCAGGCCGACGTCACCACAGGCCGTGCAGTGGAGGGTTTTTGGGATGTATGGCTGGCGACCGGGGCTCCACTCGAGGCTCGGCGGGCGTTTGACACCGTGGGTTTTGACGTAGTAGTAGCAGGCGCTGAAAGTTACGTTTTTCCGGGGTGTAGTGAGAAAAATTAAAATTAAAATTAAAGTCGTTTAAGGGCTTGGCAAGGCATCATCCTAGAGAGTACTACTACCCCCGGTATTTCGCCATCTTCTGACCGGCTGAGTCCAGTTTTTCAGCAACGATGTGGACTCATAAAGACAACGTGGTGCCGAGTTTTCAGGCGAAAATTTTGAAACACTAAAATTTATCGCTCAAAAACGGAATTTTCTAAAATTGGGGTATAAGTTTTGGCCTTTTTTTTGCAAATAGCATCCCGAATTTAAGTGTATTGTTTTGTTACGATATTTAGATTGGAAAATCAAGCTGCACACGCGGTACGCGTTGTGCGTTGCCACCAGAATTTCTACCAGGACTAACGATTACAACGAAAAAAAAAACGAAAATTCAGAAGTCCAAAAATTTTTTTCCATGGATTTTGTTCCTAACCTTCGTGAATAAAGGTCGATATCAAAAAGGAAAACTGCTGGCTTTCTCGCCTCTCCACAAGGGAGACAGTTTTGGTTGTGAATGGAGTTCTGAGTGGAAAACAGGCCTATTTTGTGCTGAATTTTGCGCTGATTCCGAATATGTTTTCCATTTCTGCTAAATAGCTCGATTTCAAAAGTTATAGCAATTTTAAGATCATTTTAGCCCAAATTTTCCCCTCTTTAGGGACCATTATATTGCTTTTCCCGGCTGTTTTTCCAAAAATAAATATAGTCACCGTATTCAGAAAAATTTTCTCTATCGAATGAGCTATTTAACTCAAAATTGTCGAAAATCGAAAAAATCGACGATACTTGGTATGGGCTGCGATTTTTGTATGGGAAATGCTGAAAAACAGCCTATTTCTCACCCCTGTAAGCCATCGACGATCGGCAGTAGCGCACTAATCAAACATACCATTCGAATCAGAAAAAATTCTCTACAAGATAGGCTACTTAAACAAAATTAAAACGTTATAACAAAAAAGTAGCACAGCATAGCATATGGCTACTCTGGGCCTAAAAATTATCTTAAAATAGCTGTAACTTTTTAAATCGAGCTTCTTTAGTACAATTGGAAAACAGCATCAGGAATCAGCGCAAAATTCTGCACAGAATAGGACTGGTTTCAACTTAAAATTCCATTCACACTAAAAAACGTCTCCTTGTCAGCGGCCTTTCGAAAGATACCCAAATCGTGGAAAGCCCGGCGCTTCCGAAGCCCGCTAGAGAGTGTTTTGGACACCCTGTACACTAGCCTTCCCCTCCATTTAAAGCTTTTAAGGCACCCGTTTCAAAGTCCTTACTTGCATAGGGTTAGCCCCTCATCGTCCTCGCGCCATACAACCGTTTGCACCGCGCAACAGTTGCTGCACATCGGCATCGAGAATGGCACTTCGGAGACCTCAGAGGATAGTGAGGTCGTCATCGCTCCAGAACCACAACTCGATTGGATCGTCACTTCCGCACAACACTGGGATTCGCCCTCGTCCTCCGATTTCTCGTCGTCGCTGGCGAATGGGGAGTCGCCGTGGTAGGAGCGCTGCAAAAAAAAGGCGCTTATAGACTTTTAGGTATCTAGAAAGTTTAAGCAAAATCCTTAACAAAACCCCTTAGATCTCGGCCTCTACAAAGATCTTACCACATCATTATTCTCCGCCATGTATCCGTATTCGAGTTCGGGAGCCCGGTCGACGGCAGGGAGCATCGGGTCGCAACTATAAGCGAGCCAAATTAGGTATCGTATTTCCTCGAATGTCACTCAGGGAGTTATATTTTTTCAATCACCAAGGTCAGGGAAGGGGGTAGTATTAGAGGGAGGGATAGATTTTCGTGACTTTGAGCAATTACAGCGATTTCTCGCAGTTCAATCTGCTCAACCACTCAGGAAAACAGCAAGAAGCCTAAACAGGAAAATTTTTGGCATTTTTACGTCTGATAGACGATCTCGGAAATTTTATTGATACAGGGGTGTGAAGTCAATTCGCATATCCGTAGATCGAGCCCCTTGATCCAAAAAAAACTAAAGTGGCGCTGTCTAAAAGTAACAGCAAATTTTACATATTTGAAAAGGCGCGAATTGGTTGAAAATGTGTGAATTTGATGTCGTAATGGGTTTCAAATTATCGATTGCGATGATCTTTGGTGTAATTTCGCTATATAAAGCAGCAAAAAGCATTAAAATCGCCGGGGAATCTGGATTTACACATTTTCACGTTCAAATGGGGGCGTCGTTGCTCGCGATGGGGGGGGGGGACGTTGGTCTTCATAGCCCCTTTAAAGAGACTAGGGAGGGCGTAAATCGACCCCTGAGCGGACCTGGTGTCGACAACGTTTCATCACGCCAAATTTGAGTGCCAATCCAATTAACCAGCTAGTTTCTAGAATATTTTTTCGGAGAACACCGTGATTTAGAGCCAAATTTGACATCAACGGCCGGTTCTGGCGCATACAGGTCCCGAATAAAAAAAGATATCAAAACTATGCTAATTTCTACTAATGGTTAGCCCCTGAACGCGGGTTGAAAATCTCGTAAAAAAAATAAATTAGAGTTTTGGTCAATAAAAACCTTAACGCTTTTTAAGATACAAAGGGGAAACAGGCAGGACGCAGGGAAAGAGCGATAAAATGAGTTACCATCTTCGCAAATGGGGTCAATGAGAGCCTGACGAACACCTGGGTCACCCGGTCATTCAGAAAGCACACATCTGCCCGAAAATGGCCGCAGGCTACAACGGCGATCACGAAGGGCG